CCGGGACTAACTGGCCGTCCCAGAGCCCGGCTCAGAAGTTGGGAAGCCAAGGCCACCCGCCAATACTGCCTGGAGGGGAAGCGTTTCGGGGCCGTGGTCCTCCCCCTTTCCTTCTTGCTCTGAATAGCTGGAGAGGAACAGTTACTGGAGACTTTTGCTTTTCTTTTCTTGCCTAGCACCTTACGCCTTGATCCAACTTTCCTACAGGAACAGCTGGAGAAACAGTTCAGCTCGATCTGGTTCCGGAATGAGGAGTGTGAAACTTAAGGGTGGAAACAAAATTAGGAAAAGGGAAACAGTATAAAACAGGACAAAGTCCCAGGCTGGCTCTCAAGACCGTCCTCTCCTATTAGTTGTCGCTCAAAGTTAGTGCAGAATGAACTTCAGTCTCTGCTGTCCCCAGGGCCTGATTGGCCTCGGGGTAGTGGGAGGAAGGCTCTCTGAAAAGTCCTCTAGGATTGCGGGTGGGGGCGTGGGAGTCGCCTAATTGTCCTCAAATCAGAAACAAATTAGCAGAGGCCCCTGGTGGATGAATTTCCTTCCTGCTGACTTTAGAGGGAAGGGACAGGAGTGTTGCTCATTAACCCCCTCCGGTAGAGGGAGAGGGAGGGGGAGAGAGAGGGAGAGCACATTTTACTCTCCTGCTAGTATCTAGTATCATTTCTGGTTCCTAAAACCTAGGTTATCAGATGGGTTTTTTGTTTTGCTTTGTTTATACTTTTCAAATAGTGGTGGGGGAGGGACGGCTCCGTTTAGGACCAGTAAGTTTAGGAAGAATGGGCTTGGAAATGCAGCTCAGACTCCCTCTATTCGTCGCTGTTTCTTTTGAGCAATTTCTTCCAGGTGACTCATTATTTATTCAGTGTGTATACAAACCTGTGAAAACAGTAATATACTAACACGACTGTGATCCTTTTGAGTTTGAGAGGAAAAAAAAAATCAATCTACTTTTGTACCTTTAAGCCAGAACAATCGATGCTGTCAAGGCCAGGAGGGAAGTTAGGCCTTCAGCAAGTGTGAGATCACAGCTTATGCAAGACCCACAGGAGGCCTCCTTGTGGCCTGCAGGTTCAGTTTAACTTGTCTTCAGGCTGGCTGAGGATGAGGGTGACCAGGCCAGGCCTCTGGGCCATGCATGCTCCTGGGAACACTGTTGTGCAGATCAGCACGTGTAGACACTTTACTATCTGAGACAGGACCTCAGTGTGTAGCTCAATCTGGACTCAAAGTCACTATATTGCCCAGGTTGTCCTCAAACTGAAAATCTTGCTTCGGCCTTTGGAGTGCTGTTATTACAGGTGTGTGCCACTGTGGCTGGCTAGATACCTGCTTCAGAGATGTTTTAGAGAAAAAGTGGCCCATCACCCTGTCAGCCTGAAAACCTGCTACCATCAGCAGGGGCGGGCCACTTCGCCCTCCATGGCTCTGGTGGGTTGGCTGGGGATGGGAGAAACATAGAAGGACACAAGCGGAATGCCCTTTCACTGCCAGGACTCTGTAGTGGGTCATGGAGCTACCCCTGGCCGAGTGGCCTCCTCTCCTGTTGACTTCATGAGATCTGTCCAGGGCTCCATAGTGACTCACTTCTTGAACAGCGCTCCAGAGGCTGAGGCAAAATTTCCGGTTTGAGGCCAACCTGGGCAATTAACGTGCCAACCCTGCGTTGTCCTTCCAGCTGAATGCCTGGCCCTTAGTAGTGGCTCCATAAAAGTTTGAGGGCTGGGTGCCCATAGCGTTAGACTCAATCCCTTGTTTTAGAAGGCAGTGAGTGAGTGGGTAAAGAGAGGGTGCCTTTGTGTGACTGGGCACAGCCCTCATCTCCCTGGAATCCCTTTGCTGTCCAGCTGACATTTCATCACTGGATCGTGTGGAATTCAGCACAGGACTCTACACCACTTGGTATTTTCTAATTCATATATCTAAAACATCTCTTCCAGCAAGAATTTGGTTCAAAATATACTTCTGGAAGCTAGCTAGGTATGTGTTAGTTTTACTCGCCATGCATTTCTTTCTGCAGGTTCTGCAGCACTGTGCTAAGCTTGGTAGCTTTCTAGGTCCCCTAGCACTCAGCACAGTTGGAGATTCAGGAACCAGGCAGACTCAGGAGGCCAGTGATATCCTGAGAGCAGAGGAGATAGAGTAGGCCAGGGTCAGATGACTCAGGACATGCAGATGCAGAAGTGAGGATGAGGGTGACGTGCCTGCCATCCAGGGATGGCAGTGCAACATGAAAATGAATAGCTACCTTTGAGCAAGCTTCAGGGTCATATATAAAGGAAAATAAAATTTAGAGAGGCTGCGGCTTCTTCCAGCTGGTAGGTGGGAGATCACACGGGCCTGCTGTACTTCAGACCCATGCTTTTAACCACTTGGTTTTAAATAGATATGGGAAGATTCTAGAATATTTAACAAATATTGAGTGTCTGGTTTTACTAGGCTGGGGCAGTAGTCATTGGATATAGCAGACCCAGCGCCTCTTCTCACAGCTTTTACATGTCGACAGGAGGAGGAAGTGATCGATGAGAAAATGAGTAAATGAGAATATTGGAGAGAGAGCAGGGCCGTGGAGAGGACAGACTGGGCTGAATGACAGGCCCCGAGGAGGAGTGTGAGGCCGTGGGACTGCAGATGTGCAGGGCAGAAGGGCCGCCCCACCTCTGATCCCTCTCAGAGGCAGACTAGAGGTGCAGCTGTGAAGGAGTCCTGTATCATCAGGGAAAATTCGGGTTGTGACCACAGAATGGCGGTGAGAGAGGGACAGAGCTGGGGACACAGGCAGAGGCTGGCAAGCCCATGGAGTCTACTGCAGTCCCTCTGGCCACCTTGGGAGAATGGGTTATAGGAGAAAGACAGGAAGTAGGGCCACCAATGACCAGGCTAAGGGCATGAAAGGGGTCCCAGGGAGCAAAGGAGACAGCCTGTCACAATACGTTCCACAGCAGCTGCTTGGTATGGATGTAGAAATACTGGGTGTGAATTCACTGCCCAGTGACCCAGTGTTACATCCCACATACCTCAGAGGGGAAGCAGGAAGAGAAATGAGGTTTGTGCAAGGCCACCGCAAGGCCAGTGGGAAGGATTGAGAACTGAGGTTTCTACCTCACAGGATATGGACCCCAAAGTATGGGTGTGGAGAGCTGGAGGGGCTCATCCCAGAGTCCTGTGACAGAAGCAAGCAGAGGAAGGATGCTCACACAAAGCAGTCCATCCCCCAGGCTGGCTCCAGGCCTGGGAAGGTGGCGGATGCCCCAGAGAGGTTGCTGGAAGTGCATTTCTCCACACCTCCCTTGCTTGCCCCACCTGCACCTGTTATTCTCCGCTGGGCTTTGGTTGCAGCCTCCTGAGGGGGGTGTTCAGTACAGAAGTGTGTTTGCCAAGGGCATGATCTTGGTTAGCATGGTCTTGTCCACACTGGGCCTCAGCCTCTAAAGTGGGGTCGGGACACTCTTCCTCACTGGGAACCCCCAGGTGAGACCCCCTACGTGGAATCACCATGCATATGCTAAAGGCCCTGTAGACACCAGGTGTTATTTGTATGCCATGTAAGGGCCAGATTATGATCTGAATATGAGGAGTAAAGGATGACTTAACAGTTTTGCAATACTAGATACTGAACCCACAGACTTCACCTTGAACTGTATGTCCAGTATTTTTTTAAAATAATGTCTTGCTAAATCACTAAATGACCAGGCTGAGTTTAAACTCACAGTCTTCCCACCTCAGCCTCCCATGGCTCCCCAGTGCCTTGGAGAGGAGCGAATGCTTGCGATAACCTTTTGCTGTGGCCAGCATCTTCTTGATCTCCACACCAGTCCTATTATTTACATTTCCCAGCCAAGAATGGGAAGGCCAAAGGCCCAGAGAAGTCAGTGCCAGCTGGAGGTTAGGGAAGAGTCTGGATTCAAATCCCAATCTCTGTCTGCACGTGTGCCCTTCCTGCTGTCACCCGACCATCAGCATCTGCCCATGTTCACTTAGGAGCTGGCAGATGCGGTGAAAGGTCTGGAGGCCTGGGCCAGCTGCATCTGTTGGCTGCGCCTCTGCTGCATCCTTCCCTGTGCTGGTCCTTGTGACCCCTGCAGGCAGAGCTGGGGA